GGGCTTAGATGGAGATATCTGCCCAGAACAACCCCCCCTCCCCCTCCCCTGCCTCCTTTCCACCCTCACTCTCAGTAAAAGCAGAAAGCCTCCAGACTTTTTTCTTTTTTTTGGGGGGGGGGATAAGATTTGGGCTGATCATTGTTATTTTTTCAACATATGAAGACACAATGCAAAGTGATGAGACGCTGAAGTGGTGCGCCTGTTTTGTGCTTAGAGAAAAGGAAGTGAAGAGTCAAGCAGGTGCTCGCACCAAAGTCTTGATTATTTATTTATTTGCATGTTTGTTTTTTTGCGGGTAAATAACTGTGAATAATTGATGCAACATTGAGCTCAGTAATTACTCTGTAAGAGCATCCTAACAGAGGTGGAGGTTCGTTCCTTGATATTTGGCGCCAACCAGTGGAACTTATTATTGGTCCACTAAAGATACTTACTTAAGGAACCTTTTTTTTAATTTACCACAGGAAGAAAATATAATTTCTTACTGATATCAACACTTAAATTATCTTTATTTTTTTCTGGTATCAGCATAACACAACTGTGATAGCTACATTGTCTTTGAGAAGTTATAAAAAAACTCCCTGCGGCTCCTGTCTGCATGAAGTAAAAATAATATAAAACGTATTTAAACTGAAAATGAAACATTTCTGCTTGTGATCTGACAGTAGGACTGGTAGGAGTGTGAGGATGCGTCTCTCCTTGAAGCCAACTCTTCCTCATAATTAGACAGCCCTGCGCGCGCCTCTCAGCGCTCCCATCGTCCCCTCTGGCTCAGATTTGTTGTTTCCAGAGGTACAAAACCGGAGGGGAAACTGGATTTTTTTTCTCATTAAAGGAAACAAGCCCGGAGTGAGTTCAATTACATGAAGTATGCAGGGATGTTGTAAATTTAAAGATTTAAATAGCTTACAAAGTGGCCCCGGGCCCCATCAGTTAATTTCCTTAATTTATGGATTTTAGCGGAGTGTCTATGTGGAAGAGGAGAAGTAGGTCATCTTGACGATTTGAATAAAGCTTTGAGATCTCACAACAGATGCAAACATGTGACCCTCCAGACCACCTGACACTTGAGCAGGTGAAAGGACACAACGACATTTGTATTTCTATGACTGCAACGATTTAAGAGCACTTTGTTCGGTGGGGGAGAAGGGACATGCAGAACTTATTGTTGACCCTAGTGATGAGATTATGAGTGGTGTTTCTGAAGCAGTGTTCATTAAAGGATTGTTCCACTATTTAAATATGGAAATTTGATTACTATGTTAAAATATTGTGTAACTTTTAGTTGAATTGAATTGATTCAATAGGGGCAGTGTAATCCATCATAGTTTTAAAACAGAACATGAAACTGATGTGCTGCACAGAGAGTTTGTAAAGTCCAACTCTTGAACCGAGATCAAAAACTCAAAAACTCTGGCAACCCCAGACATTCAAGACACATAAAGCTTTTACTAAAATGAATTGTTTTTGTTTAGTTTTTCTTGAAGACAGACAAACAGAGACTCTGCAAGTGTATCGTTTTAGCATTGATAGTAGACACTGTAGCATGTGTTCCATATATTTGAATATAGAATATTTTATTGGTCAATAAATACAAATCTCAGGTGACCACATTTGGATTTGATGAGACCCTGTACGTGGGGTCAGGACCCCCAGGCTGGGAAAGCCTGACCTAGATGGTCTTAGAGTAACCAGTTTATAAATATTCAACATGTAAGCACAACAAAACATTATTTTAATCTACATAAACTAAATGTGCACATCTCCTGCAGACATCATGTGCCAATAATCAATATGAATGAATGTGTGAGAATGAAAGCTTTGCTTTCAGCTGCTATTGTTGCCTAAATCCAACAACATTGTGCCCTCTCCACCTCACATTGCTCTGTTCTTTTTTTTTTTTTTTTTACCAGGTGATCAAACTGTATTTTTAAGCTTTCATAACATACCATATACGATTGATTTTTAATTTACAGCACGTGAAAGCCTTTAGCCGGAGCTCTGTTCAACATAGAACTCTTCAACAATATTTTGTCATAAAGATTATAAAGAAACTAAGGCTTAACACACATCCAGAGCCCACAATATATCTTTAGTTTGTGACATTCATTCATAGTGAAGTCTATTTCACTTTGAACTGGACTTAAACGTGAGGATTTGTTGAGCTAAATCTTTGCTTTTATGTCGTGTTTTTGCTTTTTGAGTTTGCATCATTGTACAAATAGGCCTCAGTCCCAGTTAGGAATCAATATATTCAGATTTTTTACGTGTATTGATGATAAATTTGGAACAAAGTTGGGACATAGTACCATCTGCTGGTTAACAGTAAAACTATGCATGAGCCATCAGACTGATGATCCCAGTGTATGAATGTACTTACAGGCAGTTTAACACCTGTGCGTAGATTGAGAGGTTGCTGGACGAGCCTTTTATGTTTTTGATGTCAAAAATGAAATTCTCACCTGAGCAGACTTTCACCTTTCTATGTTATTTGAATGGAAGTCTTTAGGGAATCCAGCTGATGGACATCTTACTGTGATACACAGAATCAAGGTCACCCTCACACTGTACATACACTAAGGTGAAAACAGAAAACAATACAGTCACATTCATGCCTCTAAACACGGGCATTTGCAAGAATCTCTTTCAAGCTTTTCTCCTCAGATCAACACTCCTGCTTTCCCTCCGGCATGAGGGGAAAGTTGGAAAAGAACATTCAGAACTTGCTTTTAGTAATCTGCATGCCTCGTGGAGCCCGGCTGCTGTCAATCGCTGCGTTCTTCAAGCCATTTGACATTCTGCTTGATGTTGGTGTGTGACTGAGGTGCCGCAGCGACACTTATTGTTCATTATTTCAGAGAGAAAGAGAGAGAGAGAGAGAGAGTAAGAGGATGTCAGTGTATTAATAGACCGTGTTGGGTTGTGTTGCACATAAACACCTAACAAGCTCAGTGCAGAATTCCCTCAAGTGTTTAATTCAGCAATTAAGTTTCCCAAAAAGCTGAGTACAGAGAGAGTGTGTTATCTCTGTACTTCTGAGAGCTCCTGTTATCAGTCAGTGTGTCTTTTTCAGGTAAAACTGCCCTGACCCTGGTGCTGTCAAGTTCACTCTTTACTGCACTCAGGTAATCATTGGATTGGTTGAAACATATAGTAAATATCAGCCAAGGTGTCCTCCTTAGGCAGTACACTTTCATTCCTTCAGCTCATATAGTGATGTGTAATATTGGAAATCAACCACGTACATTAAAGGCTACAGTTACCGGGCGTGTGTCCAGAAGGGTGGCATCGGCCTCCCTTGAAATCTAATTGGCCACCCCAATCCCAATCTATGATTGACGATTTGCCTAATCAGAGGCGGGACTTAGAACTATTCAGGCTGTGTTTGACGGACAGCTGGTAGTTTTCTTTATTTGTCAATGTAGTATACAATATGTTTTTGATAGTACTTTCAGTTGTCATTAAATACTTAGCATACTTTTCTATTTCCATAAAAAAATTCTAGCAAAAACGTGTGTACTTTGACTAGCTTGCAATGGACTTTCTTGCCAGTACATTTATTTTTGCAAGTTAGACAGCGACTTTGGACATGCATGTTCTTTTTGAGTCCTCAAACAATTAAGATAATGAGATTTACTTGTTGCCAAATTGTGTTACTTACAAGTACATATGATTAGTAGAGATAGAAAGGCTAAATAAATGAAATCATTCATGTGCGTGTGCCTTCAAACTTCATTCCTGCTCTGGCAATTCTCTAAAGACTCTTCAACTGGTCCAGAACGCTGCAGCTCGTGTACTGACAGAACCAGGAAAAGGGACCACATTACTCCTGTGTTGGCTTCTCTGCACTGGCTCCCTATACAGTCTAGAATAGAATTCAAGATCCTTCTTCTCACCTACAAAGCTCTAAATGGCCAGACACCATCTTATCTTAAGGAGCTACTAGTGCCGTACTACCCTTCGAGAACATTACGGTCCCAGAATGCGGGCCTACTAGTGGTACCTACAGTCTCTAAGTGTACTATGGGGGGTAAAGCCTTCAGTTATCAGGCTCCTCTCCTCTGGAACCGCCTTCCAGCCGGGGTCCAGGAGGCAGACACAGTCTGTATTTTTAAGAATAGACTTAAAACTTTCCTTTTTGATAAATCTTATAGTTAGTGCTGGTGTAGACCAGCTCCTAGTTATGCTGCTATAGGCTTAGACTACCGGGGAAACTGGCACCTTGAGCTCCTCCCTCTTTCTCTCTCTCTCTCTCTCTCTCTCTCTCTCTCTGCATATACAGTACATCATATTACTGCATGTATCTATCTGTAAATCTCAGTCACTAACCACCTACTTTCCTGAGAGCTCCTGAGCTCTTTTAGGCTCCTCAAGATCGTTGGTTGACGGCCTGCCAGTTATTAGGGATTCATGAAAGAGCTGGGTCTTTAGCTTTTTCTTAAAGGTGCAGAGGGACTCTGCAGATCGAATGGAGTTTGGAAGTTCATTCCACCACCAGGGGGCGACAGAGGAGAAGAGTCTAGTCAGCGTCTTAGGACCCTGTTGTGAAGGTTGTATTATATTGATTTTTACTTCTGAACTTGTTTTTCCTCGAGGACTGTCAGTCCATAAGTTGTGAGCTGTTCCTTCAAAAATATTGTCTTTGTAGGTATAGTTCATTATCTTCTGTTAAGACAAATTAAATGTTCAGTTTTTTTTAATAGAAAAATACCAATATGTTTTGTTTTAGGTCCCTTCTTTTTATTCCCATTTCCATTTTATTTTACTATTAAAATTAAATAAATGAAAGAAGAACAAACTAAAAGTTAAACATCTCTTGAAACTAGATTTGAACAAGCTTTGCAGGTGCTTTCAGTAATTAAATTTGAATCAACTAACTGAACCGATTTCTACATTATTAGATACAAAGAACAGATTTAGAAATAAAACCTATTTAAGACTTGGTATCTTGGATCTTATTTTTTTAACAGTTTTGCTTTTCACCTGACCTTTTTCTC